GTGGAAGACGAAGGGAATAGGTGGGGGAAGTTGAAAACGTCGCAGACTGAATAGAGCCACGGTATCAATACAGTTTTTCCGTAATAAAGTCCCCGTTCGATGCGAAGTGGCCCGATTTACATGAGAAACGCCCGATTTCCCGCGCTCAAGCAGTCGTTAATCCTCGCTCCACCGTACTAACGATTCAACCGCCGCGCCGGTCGGCAGAGAGGGTACACGCGATTTTTATTTATCCGGACGATTCTTGCTTTTCGTCCGGGCTCCCGCTTTCACTCGACCCGCCATTTACTCGCCGGGTGATACGATTACGCGGCTGTCGAGAATCCGTGGTAGCCGTTCCTCGTTAATGACTCACTGAGAATGTTTACGTGGATTCGGTGTTTTACGAGTCGATTTTCTGGAATGATCACGCGTAGTTTCGTTCTACATTGTTGACCTTTGTATCTGTGAATAGGCACATACATTCAGTTTACCGCCGAACATTTGTTCCGCTTTTGTTGGACAAACTGAATAACAGTGCTTTGAATTATATCGCACTGGTTTACGTTTGTACGTAATAACGGACAGCTTAAAAATTACTTATGCTAGCTTTTAATATCTCAGTTTTCGAGGAAATAGAGCTAAAGAGAAATTGTATGAAGGAATTAAAGTTCATTGTATTAAAGTTTCTATCAGGTTTTTAATTAAATCAATCTCTTTCGGAGCTATTGTAAACTTTTTACTTATTATTCGTTCATTGTGTATTATTATACTTTTTAAAATCTTCACTTCTGAGCAGTCGTGAATGCTGCGAGTGCATAAACTCCCAAAGAAATCCGCAAGTGTCCACGCGTCGGATGACCGAGGTTTAATAGCCAAGGGTGGGATACCCTATTCGGATCCTCGTTTCTTCGAGGAAAATCACGACGAGTCCCTCCTTGATTTGGTCAGCCGGTCATCCTCTCAGTTCCGGTCTATTAGATCGGAACCACCATCGTCATTGGTGTTCAGATGCTATATAACGTACGCCGACCGCAATGGGACCCTCCTCCCGCGACAGGTCTCCCTCGTCCTCTCCCTCCTTGTTATTTGCTTTCTGCCCGAACCGCCCCAAATTGAGATTTTCCACAGATGATTAGGCCCGTTCTTCTCAATTAGGAGGGCAGAACCGTGTATTTTTCTGCGGCCGGCAGGGGAAAACGCTAGGACTGCGTGTTTCCGAATACAGAGCACTCCTCGTTTGTGGGTTTTCAATGAAACCGGTGGTGGTATGGTTGGGTTAGGTCAAGGAACATTCATGAAGGAAGAGGCGAGAACCATTGTCGAATGAACGCCTTTTTTCTATTAACCCTTTGCACTCGAGAGGCGACTCCTAGCCGCCAGATGATTTGATACAGGAAAATTATAAACTAACGGTATTTGCCATTAACCTTTGCATACTGCACCAATACGGGAAATATTGAAAGGCAATAGCTTTGTTCCCTAACTTACGTGTGATTTTTTGGTAAATTTATTTTAAAGAATCTTGTCTACATGTAACTAGAAAGTATTGAATATTTTAAGTGAAAAACTTTCGAGTGCAAAGGGTTAAACCTTAATCGATCACAGAGTTTATTTTAAAAACGAATTAAATCATTCTTGAAGGGTTTTAGGAGAAGATTATACAACTATATTGGGTTAAGTCGTAAATAAATCGGTGTTTACACAGATTTATGCATTTATAATTTATAAATATAGTTTGAAAATGTTGAATTTTATAGATGTTATTTTATTTATTAAAGGTTTTCTTGTACCGAAGATAAAATGATATTCAGGAATATATTCGATTGATCGTTTGGTAAATGAATTTCTTTTTTTAACTAAAGAAAATGTCAATGGACGTTTGAATTTTTATAATGACTGAAATTGGTTTTATTGTGACAATTGCAGAACTGAGTTTCAGTGTTTTCTATTTTATTTTCCCATCTGCGTATTAATTATTGTTAGTGATTCAATATTTTCGATCGATAGTATATACAAATACGAAGGCAAATTTCTCGATTGACAACGACATAAATAAATTCCTGTGTAAATGACGAACCGAGAAAATAGCTTGAAGTATTCTTGCTTGATTGTCAATCGATAAAATGGTGTAACACTTTCGTATATTGAACATTAATTAAGCAAGTTAATAAATTGATCTTCTGACACGTTATATTCTCATTTCAGGCACACACCAAGCATGTACCCCATCTCCCCGGCAAGCGCTGGTTTCCGAAGTCCGTATCCCACGAGTTTGCCCATCACAAGTTCTAGTTTACCAAGGTTAGTAGGTGATCGAAATCGAATTTATCGACTCTACCTTGCACGGAAACTCTAATTTCAGTTACGCGTTAAACTACTCGCGCTCTATTTCAAGTTTTGTAACCACTGAACCTTTCAACACTCGTGCATCTCAGTATTCCTAAGTCAGTGTGAAAGTTTACGTCATCCATTTCAAAAACAATGCTTAAAATTCGCAAAAACTGTCCGTGTTTTTAATATTGGAATTTCATAAAATGAGAAGTTTGAAAAAATTACATTTTTAATTATTCCATTGCATATTTACATGTTAAACAAGTTGTAAGATCGTTAAAATTTCAAATATACAAATTCCAATAGCCATTCTTCAACCCCTTTGAGTCTGTATGGTCAATTAACCCTCGTCTTAACACTAGCACTACCAAATAGGTCAAAATTACCCATTCCTAGATTCTTCTTCTACAACTATTGAAAGAAACAGATACTTCTTAGGAAAATGAGTAATGAAATTGATTTAAAGATACGCAAACTAGATTATAAATCGATTGAAATCTCAACGGACACAATATTGGAGTTTCTATAGGAAAATTAGAAAATCTAATTGAATTACTCGGTAGTTCTAATGTTGAACATTCTGTCTCGAATCGAAAAAAGATTTCCGAAGACCTCAGGATCTAAATAAGTAAATCTTCATGTGCGACGGATGACAGTTTATAAATTCAACATTCAAAATAAAATATGTCTCGAATCCTGAGGTTCTTTACAATTATTGTATCGCTGCCCACGTTTACAGTAAATCTCTCACTTCAGCTTCTCTGAAAAATTCATTTTGTGCTAAAATTGTGATCGACAATCTCTTAGTTCGCGTCTGGAAGTTTCCAGTGATCATTGGCCATCATTTTTCCAGTGATCTCTACCGGTTTTCGCCGACGGGCCTGATGCCCCCGCATCCTGGACTGAGTCCGCACGCACACGCGCTGACGTCTCACGCACTAGTGCCCTCGACGCCGAAAACAGACCACTCCTCCTTGGATCACAATCACAGGTTTGTTCTCTTCGGCCTATTAGCGACACCTGGATCGCCCGCAACGAATCGAAGTTACTTGCATTCAGTAACTGCCCCGTCTTTATCCTGAGTCACGCTGATCCTTAACATCCACAATTTACCATCGACCAAACCATTAAATATCCTACTGCGGACATTTCTTACCGATTCTTTCCGAGGTAACTAGAATTATATTTAAATGACTGTGATCACAACGATTTGTAAACATACAAAATGGTTTTAGTGTAATTGTAAAAGGATCATTCTCGACTTTCACGAGAACACGTGGAATGAAGGTGAGATGTCCTGTAATTATCCTTTGCCCTCCAATTTGCTCCGAGTTCTTATCTTCGGAGGTGAAACGTACGATTCAAAGTTAATCGGAATTTCTATTACATTATGGGCGAAGAACTCGGCAAGATTTGAAATCGTGAAAGAATTTATTAACAGGAAAAGTGAAGACCGATACGAAAGGCCAGAATCGATACTATAGACATCATAAGTGTGTCAAAGACTGACAGCTGCATGATAACGCAGCAGGTCGAATTTTCGCTCCGCCGGAACGAATCCATCGCATTGATCGTTCTCACGGGTGGTCTGTTAAATATTTCGCTGGAGCGAAGACTACCGGAGAACGAACGGACTAGTTGATAATTTACTGAATACGCAGCGATGATGGGTACATTCGACGAAATGAAAGACAGACTCGTGCCCGATGGTACGAGAACTTCCTTCTCGATCGTTCGTTGAAAACGTGTAAAAGTTGAAAGTACATTCTTAGTCGTAATCAAAGATCAGAAGATTTCTTAAAGACCTTCAGTAAAAGCTGTGTAATTACTGAGAATTCAAAAAAGTACAGAAACCGAGAGGTTTAAAGATCATTATTAAATGTTTATAATTTCACTACTTACTGGAATTGACAACGCGCGACTGTAGTATCACCGAAGAATACCGAGAACGTCTCATTCATCCGCCAAGAAAATCCGGCTCCTTTCAAGACAGCGAGTCCTGCGAGACCCCGCCGCTCAATCGATCAAAGAGACAGAACTATTTACGCTCCAATTAGAATTGTACGGCAACCCTTTATCCTCCAAAGGCCACCGAACAGGGTATTCAAAGATTCAAAACTTTCAATTAAACTCCCTCGGAGTCGAAATCTGCAGCGATGAAGGCGGCTCTATTGAATAAACCGGTCGGTCCGTTGGAAAAACGGAAGATAACTTCCACGACGGACAAGAAAAAGAACTCCGCTCCGATCGATCAAGGAGCTGCTGACTGCATTCGCGGACGATTCGGAGGACGGGGCTGAATGCGGACGATAACTGTCCCGTTCTCGGTTCCCATCGATAAAGGGAGAAGTTCCTCTTTTTACTGAACAGCGAGCACACCGTCATCGTCATTTCAGCCGTTGATAAAGAAGCGTGTGACGCGAGGGCTAGTTTCAGGGCCGGCCATAGGGGGTAGCACGTCCCGGGGTGTTCAACCCCTCGTGCACAGAGTCGTTTCCCCTTCGGCATGGAGCCGCGTATAACACTTATTGAATGACTCTCTTCGCACAGCGTCTGCGCCTGCCGGCCACCACCGCCGCCACCGTCGCCGCCGGTTATGTATTGATCATTACCCTCTTAAACAGATTTCTAATTTGCATTAGTAGCAGGCCGATCGGCTGCGGCCCCCGAGCACCGAGTATACAAAACCGCATGCTCGCACGTCTGGATTCGAGGCACGCGTACAACCGAGCCATGGACGATCAGCTGAGCCGGGGCTCGTCCTCGAGGCGGGGTGCGTCTGGTCGGTCACCACGGGAACACGTATGGACGCCGACGGGCATCCGCCACGCGACGTAGACGACGTGGACGACGCTCGCGCGCGGACCGAGTCGCGTTGCCACGTATACTTGATCTCTCGTCCATATTGACCTTCGGTTCGGCCACGTGCTCCTCGCTTGTGAACAACCTATATCTACCGTCAAGACATCCAATCATCTTTATCGTCGTCGTCGGCCGAACGAGACACAGAAACACGAGACGAAAAATGAAATACGAAGCTATGGAAACCCATTGGGATTGATCGAATACACGTGTCCATCGGGACATAAAGGAGAGAATACTGGGGCAGCAGGACGTGTCCCTTTCGGAATATCAGGTTCACAGAAGTTAGATCCTCCCAGGATGCCCGGGGCCTGTTAACAGAAGGATTGATCGCCGTGCGTAACCAGCCGATGAAAGGGAATCGTCGCGGCTGCCCGTTGTCCGAGTGCATTCGGTCCGGCGTGTGCGTTCAG